CAAAGATAGAATGAGAAAGCACACTTGTCATTTAAATTGCCTCTGCCTTTTGTAGTAGTTAGTAGCATTCTGTTGACCAAGGTTGGATAATTTTAAAGCTGTTTAACAAAATAACATGCTTGTCTGTGTGAAATACAGAGTGCTGAGAGACAGGGGGAAGTCTCCCTTGACAGAGTTCATGGGATTCTTTAGAAACTGCAGGATGCTGGGACTTGTCTGAGGAATTACAAAAGCTTTGAGGCGCCCGTGTTGAGCATTTGCATGATTTTCAGATGGCAAAGTGTGTTCAGCTGTCTTCGTGCACCCTCCCGTGTGTGCATGTATGCACTTCAATGGAGAGGGAGAGAATTCTCAGCACAGTTTTCATTGGGCTTTGCGTTTGTTAAACATATATTATTGAAATGCTGCCCAGGACACATCACTTCATCTCGTGTAGAACTTAAATCATCATGTTGCACGATATGGTAAAATAAAAGAGATTGTGAAAGAGACAACTGTAAACATTCTGTTTGAAAAGATGTGCTCTTTTCAAAAGACCTTTCTGTTACAGCCAAATAACACAAGAAGCAATATTTCCTTGCTCACAGAGACATATATCTATTTCTGCAGAGATTTGTTTTGGATTCTCAGTTCTTCCAGTATCTTCATTCTTTGAAATAATTTTATACTTCCATGTTGACTTTCTCTGTGCTTTAAGTTTTAATCAAAGGTTCCTTGCTTCTGATGTCGAGTACTGATGTTAGCCTGTTTACATTCCACTGTTTTTCCTCTGTATTCAATGAACATTCAAATGTGGTGGTGCCTTTTTGCTTTTATCTACCAAACTTAGCACACTCTCTTATTATTGACAGCTCAAAAAGATGATATGCTAGTGGGCAGGATGCTGTGAATTATTAACTTTTCTTTGCGCTTTGACAAATTCAGGTTACCTTTGTAAAGAGAAATAGATTCTCTGAAGGAACCAAGACAGTGGAATGGTAAATAAGGCTTTGCAAACCTAAATTAATTTTTTTTAGCCAAATTTGAATTTACCACATTTCCAGAACATGATTCTGAATTACGGTTCTTGTACAGAAATTGTATTTTCATTTCATAGACTAAAATATCAGAGGAGAGATTTTGATTGTGATTTTTCCTTTCAGTTTGTCTTTCTTATATGGGTTGATCAATAAAGAATTAAAGAATGTATATTGCCACTAAACATCCCTTCTACCTTTTTTTCTTAGCAATGAGATTTCACAAAAGCAGTTCATTTGCTCCTTTCAATAAGGAGCCTGCACCCAACTAATTTGAGAACAGATAAAATGTGCAGGAAACATATGTTTGCCAGGAAGCTTTTCTATAATCAAAACGGTCAGCAGGACAGAAAAAAAATGGGTTTTCTTTTTTTCTTCTTAGGTGTTAATCTTCTTCCATTAAAAAGAAAACATACATTAAAAATTGGCATACAGCAGTGATTAATATACACAGGCATGAGTGAATCAGAGGCAGCATATGTTGCGTGAGGTAATAGACGCTTATTTGAGTTAATATTTAGGTTGTGCTGCAGTCCAGGCCAGGCAGCAGCGAGGCCTCTGCAGCCGGGAGCATTTTGGGCAGGCAGCAGGAGCGGTGGCAGCGGGGCACAGTCTGTCTGCCTGGGAGCAGTGAGCAGGAACGGGAGGAATGTCGATGTCAGCTGCCGGAGGACAGCCAAACAAAGTAGGTTTGTTCGAGGTTCGGTGAGGAAAGCAGCAGGTTTAATACGGCTCGGTTTGGAAAATACTCACGAGGAATTGCATTGGAGATACAAAGTTACTGGTGACAACAGTAATTATTGACAGAGCCACATACTTCGGTCTAAAAAACTCTGGAATGATGCTGAAGCATTCAGATGCCGGTTGTTCACACTTCCATCCTGTGGCAGTGCATCTGTTTATCGGGAATTATCTCCTGAATGTAAATGAATTTCAGTCCTAAGTCATTGCACCTGTTGCCAAGAGGTATTTATTCCAATCACTTGCCTAAAGCGCAGGGAGTTATTGCTTGACGTTTTATGGCTCCAAAAAAAAAAGCTGTCGTTTCAAAATCATTTGTTCAGAGAGGAGAAAATGGAGCAAAACAGTTCATTTTATCCTAAGCACTGCTATTTGGCAGTATTCACATTTGCACGGCACAAAGCTGCAATATTGATTTTTCGCTTACAGGGCCTCCCACAAGTTCTTTCTTCGATTGTCAGGATTGCAAGATGGATTGAATTACACTTTGCTTGTTGATATACTTATTTTTTCTTTGGTGATAGGAAAAAATTACAAATAAAGCTTCAGCATAAAGATCATAGTAGCCCTGCTAGTGGACTTCGAATTTATTTATTTTATTTAGTTAAAATTCTTTCTGCGCCACAGAGATTCCTTAGAGCAGCATTCCCACCTAACACATACTGCATTGTTTTGCTTTATTGCTTGCTGCTTTTGCAATGTAAGACCTACATTGCAATCTCAGATGTGTCCTCTGTTGCCTGCAAAGTGATCTAACCTTGCTCTAGTATTTTTAATGTTTGTCCTGATACAGAACTTCTTGTGGATGCCTGCAGGGGGAAAAACTGCAGGATAAAACACATTCATAGTCGTTATAGCAGTTGCCATAGATGATGAAGTAAGATTTGCAGGCTGCTGATTTCTCTGTAGCAAAACTGCAGAAGTCTTGTGTTTGAATTCAGAGTATTTCCTAGCAGAAGTGGAGCTTGTGCTGCAGGATCCACAGTAAGGGTCAGTGCTGGTCACAGGGAGCTGCGTGTGGCCCCATAACTATCCTGAGCTGCTGCTGTACATGAAGCCACTGACACTTCAGCAGCTGTACCCCATGCCCCTTCCCTCCTGCCCTGGTGCAAACACCTCTTTGGACAGCTGTAGGTGCTGTTCCCCTTCTTGCTGATGGAAATTCAGAAGGTCTGGGAGGAGGGGACTCCTCCAGGCAGGCCATGGCAGTGTTGCAGGCCATGGAATCCCAGCTGAGTGCAGGAGATACAGGCACCATTGCTGCCAGCTGGAGGGATGAGCATGTACCCCTCCCTGTGCCTGTTTCGCCCCCTCACTGCGCTGTGAGTTACTTCTGTCTTCATTGTATTCATTTGCTGCATGGGAGGAACATGCAGGGTATTAATGTGATGGATTTGTGTTTCAGCTCTTGCCAGCTCTCAGCCCATGACACCTCAGCAAGCCTTTAATAACAGTGTTTGTTACTGCTCATGGTATGTGCAGCCACACTGAGGGCCAGGAGTGAATCTGAGATGGAACTTGATGCTTTCCACAGCACTGTGACTCCTTCCCTTACTAACAAATACTGAAGCATACTGGCCAAGTAACAGTATTGGTTTCCTGTGGTATATGGTTTTACAAAATATAAAGGCAGATCTGGTCACTGGGCTTTGGCCAGCTGTTCTCCTTCTGGGCAAGTTCATGCCCAGTCAAAGACCTGGTCCTCTGGGACCTCATCAGTTGCCTGCAGTAGAGGGAGGTTAGCAGCCCCTGGCCTAAGTTCATTACACAATTTGTAAAAAAGCTGCTGCTGGTGCGAGGAATGTGCAGGCAGAGGAGGGGTGGATGGAAGGATGGGCTCTGGCTGCCAGGGAGCCACATCCTTATACTTGCGTGGTCATTATAAAAAACTTTAGCCATCTTAACAGATAGTCATCTGCATATAGTGTGAGTTTTAATACACAGAATTCAATAGAAAAAGTGATAGCCTCTGGTTCATGGAAAAATTTACTATCAAGGGGTTATCTCAATTTGTTCTTGAATTTTTTTGGTACTTGGTTCCTTGGTTCTTCCAGTGCATCATACTTTTTAAGAAAAAAAACCACAGAGCTCCAACTTTCCATACGTAGCAGCTATTTCTCTTTGCTGTCATAACTGGTCTCCCAACAGCCTGCACAGAAATATTAATGGCCTTGTGTTACTGTATTATAAAGGCATTTTTGAAAATTCAGGATTTAGTATTTTAAACAAATAGGCTTTTAGCACTGCCATATTGCCCAGCTAGTTTTCCAAAAGTCACACAATTTTGTAAGAAACAGAAATACTGTTTAATAATAATGAATCATTAACTGTGTACAAGAAACTGTAGTATGCAGATACTTTTAGTCTGATGTAATATATTCTTTTGCATTAAAAAATGTCACAAAAAGACAAAGCATCTGGATGAATAGCTGAACCTTGTTGTGTTTCTAAAGTATTTTACTCTGCTTCCTTGGAGAAGTTACTTATTTTTAGGAATTCTATTAAGCAGAAAAAAATACTAAATATTAAAATTGCATGTATTTTGTGAGAGATGGAGAGGTTTTATGCAGTACACACTGTGATTTTTGGTACTGCTAATTCCTGTATTTGTTTCAAAATCCTATCTGTATGTAGTTAAATTTATGTAAAAGACAGTAAGGAGCACTGGAGTTTAAGTAGGTGAAGTGTCAGCATGTATATTTGGATCATGTCCATGCTGAGGTCACAAAATAGCTAAGCAAAAGTAACCAGTTCTTCCTGGAGAATGGGAGACAAAGTAAAAAAGACTAATGAAGTTGGAAGTTGGAACTAAACTTTGGGCTTTTTTGTGGTTGTATTGTTTTCTTTTTTAAAATCACTTCTGCGAATCCTGCCTGCTCTGCTGCTTCCCGCTTCCAGACATGGTCTGTCTGACTGTGCCCAAGGAGCAGAGCCAGAAGCTGAGAGAAAAGAGGTGGAAACTGGAACGTGCAGTGTAGCCATGCAGACAGGCACCACTGTCTGCCCTGCCCAGATTAGAAGCAGTGAAAAGGAATTTCTTCTTTTCCCAGATTAAGGACACATCAGCCATGGTAGGGATGTGACGGTTCCATGAAAGATGCCACACTTGACATGGTACCAGGTCAAACTGTGTAAAGGTGCACTTCCTTTAGCACACGACAGTTGCTGCTTATGAGGCAGAAAAATAGTCCAGTTCAGTGTATCCTTTAGGCTCAATGCCATTTTGTCCTTGTTTTTCCCCAGGTTTCAGCAGAGCAGCGCTACCGTTTGGTTTGGTGAGGAGGGAGCTCTCCTGCGAAGGCTACTCCATCGACCTGCGGTGTCCGGGCAGCGATGTTATCATGATAGAAAGTGCCAACTATGGACGGACAGACGACAAGATCTGTGATGCTGACCCTTTCCAGATGGAGAACACAGAATGCTTCCTTCCAGATGCCTACAAAATTATGACACAAAGGTAAAAATGTACATATCGTGGTCAGGACTAACGAGGAAAAATGCCTGCATTAATACAGAGAGAGGTATATACTGTAAGTAATGTTGAGTTGTTATTGCCACTTTGCTGTTCAGGTTGTATCGTTTCTATCTAATAATATTTAAAGGAAATAAAAACCACCAGCTGCAATTAGAGGTTTTAGGGTTTTTTAATTCTGTAAACAAACCATGAAAAAGCAGGAAGATAATTTCAAGGAGAATGAAACAATTCAATTTTTTTGGAGTTCCCCATCTCCTTGTCTTTCAGGGGATCAAATAGCCCTGAGAATGTTTCAGAATGATTGCTGTGTTTTTCAGTAAATGCAGTAAATCCCTGCCGTAGTTCCTAATAGTAGTTCCCTCCAATGGAAAATGTCAGAATGATTGCATGCCAGGATGATTATATGTCATTATGCATGTGTGTACAAACATACATGTGCATATAAGTACAAGTTAGTGACAGTGCTTGACATTCAGAGAAGATAGAAGAACCAACCAAGAATCATAAGACCATTGAGGTTGAAGAAGACTTTTAAGATCATTGAATTAGCCTGGTGCTGCCAATTCCACCTCTAAATCATGTCCCCAGCCTCCAATAAAAGTATTTTTATTACAAAAGGTGCGTGAGGGTTCAGATTCACAGAAAGTTCTGTGCTAAAGGCTGTGTAGTGTATGCACAGCAGTCACCTCCTACTGACAGTTGTGGAAATGTCAGCACAAAGAAGTCGCTGGCATTGCTACTGGATTAAACTAAAAGCCTGAATGAGTTCAGCATTGGTTGGAAGTTTTCTTCCCAGTACCGTTTTCCCAGGGTGAGGAATCTGAACAAAAAGGGGATGGGAATAACCTGAAAGCTTTCTGGTGCCCGTACACAGATGTGTCAAGTGAAATAAGCAAGTTGTCCTCCTGCCTTCTGTGCTCCATTTCCTCTGTTCTGTTTGAACATGGTAACACTTAGTAACATAGTCACCTCTTAAAAATAGCCTTCCATTTTGATTTACTGATTTACTGGAGTTGTCATGAGTGGGACTCTTACAATTTTTTATCATTTTTATGTGAATATGCAGATGTTTTCTACTTCTGTAGTCTAATATTTGGGCTGAATCTCAGCCTTCAGTTTCAAATGCTGGAGGTAAATTGAGGATATCGGGTCTTTTATTTCTTGTTTTGTGTTGAACCTGTGGCTTGTTTTGTGATCAGTAAGGGAAAGCCTCCATTGCTACACTGTTAAAAAGGTAATATAACTTCTTTAAATCATGTTTGAATTATCTTCTTGTGGTTCGAGTTCGTAGTTGTTAATTAGATCAAGCCGGATTTCCATCGAGACTGCAGCAGCAGTGTCATCATCCTCTAATCTGTCAACTCCCTTTGAAACCACCTTCAATTGCTTTTGTAAATGTAGTGCTGCTCTGTAGACTTCCTTGTTGTGTAAAATGCATGTTGTGTTTTGATCAAAGTCTTCCTTATGTTCACTGGAAATATACAGATTAGGGTAGTCAGAGACAAATGTAGAGGCACAGTCTTGCTTGAAGTGACATTAGACTGTTACTGAAAAGCTGAAATTTCAATCTTTCCCTTTCAGTTAATCAGCTGTAAATATATGAAAGCAAAATGTATTTTTGAACTTCCCCCATCTTCTACTCTTATGCTTTGTTCAACATTAAAATAAAATTATGATCACATGTAAGACATTGGTTCAGATTATCTATGTTCAAAGAGTTTTGCATTTTTGTTTGTCTGAACAAATGACAAAGATCATTTGACACTTTGCTTTTTATTTTTGTCTGACATTTATAGCAATTTGGAAGTTTGCTTTCATAGTTTTTTTTCTTAGATCTTGTCATTAGGTAGAAAAGATGAGTCTTGTCTTGCTAATTTTTTTCCAAAATTGCTCAATTTGTGCTATATTGCAAGCATAGAGGAATGTTGCAAATTTCTTATGAAATATTAAAAGTTCTTATATTTCATTTATTTATAACTGTGTCAGTGATTGTAATTTTTTGTTGTCTCAGGCAAATTGTTGTTTGGTACTCAGCACATGTCCTTGATCTGATATATAAAAGTAACACATCAGCTGTATTTTGATGGCAGCAAATGCATAGAAAAATCTAACCTGAAGGACTATCAGATTCATTGGTTTTCCTTTTTATTTAATTGGTTAGAACTTTTGATGACAGTGAAATCTTCTCTACCTTTAGAAATAAGTAGCAATAATTTCTATATTTCTACTTAAATCCTGCAGTGTTTACTTTTAAGGACCTGTTTTTATCACTTCAGTCAACTGTGTTACCACTGCAGCTGACCACTATTTCATTTCAGTTTAGATGTAAAGTTAAATCTAGTTCTGTAGCAATTATTAAGTGCTCATTATTCATTTGCAGCATTAATCCACAGCTTTTGCACAGCAACTACATCTTTTGCAATTACAAGGTGAAAACACTAGCTTAATGAGATCAATACTGTGAAATCCGAAGACTGAAAAATAAGATGAGGTTTCCAGTTTAACACAAAGCCATGTAATCACGTGCCCTGCTCCCCTTCCAGAGAATTTGAGATAGTAGCACACAGACCTTGCCACTGTCCACTGAAGCATCAGCTCCTCTTTCTCAGAATGAGCTGCTACTTAATCTTTTCTACCTCACCCTATTCTTTCTTTTCACTAGTTCTCAAAAGATTTTTAATCTAATGTGTTCCTAGGAAGCCTGACTAGAACATTAATGACTTCATTACTTTGCTTTTACCTCTGTAAAGTAGTTATTAAATTTTTAGTCCCTGATTGAAATTACATCCCAATTATTCCAGAATAAAGTCTTTCAGATGTGTTTAGATTCTATGTAAACTTCAGACCAGAATGGTTGAAATTAAAGCTTTGAAGAAAGAGACTAGACCTTTAGAAAATCCTTCTCCTCTTTCACACTTCTCTGATAATTAACCCCAGCGTTTGCATACCATCAAGTTTGAGAGATTCTACCACCTGAAGTTCAGTACAGAAATAAGCTAATTTCTGGAATATTTGGTGAGCAAGTAGCATAAATGATTGGCAGAGGACCCATGTTTCAGGCACATTTAAGTTCTTAAAATAGTTCCACTCCTCTGTGCTCTGCTGTCCTTTAGCAGGGACAAATCTCCTCTGTTTCCTTTTCATTTAAAAAGAAATTAAATGAACAGGGAAGCAGAAGATGCAAAGCAGCCTGAGGAAATTGCTCTACTTGCTTGCTCATAAAGTGCATTTGTGTAGCCGTAGCAGAAACTGCCATGAAACTTTGAAGTTGATAAGGCTAATTCTGGTTTTTATAGGCATGGCAGAGATTTGAAAATTAACAGCATAAAATTTACTTATGACCTCGTATTATCTATTTCTGTGGCAAGCGGATTGCAGGTGGATCTTGGGAGTTCCGTTCAAACCACCTGGGTGTTTATGAATATTTTCTGTCTCCAGTGTCTCCTATGGTCTGGACCATAGGTAAAAGAATAACAGATATTTAATAGCTATTTCTAAAGATGTACTTAAAATGTATTTCAAATCAAAGGTCTCTTATGTTTGTAATTTTATAGTGGAATAATACGTTCCACAAGGTGGATTCTTGCATGCTGGGACTATTCTTTCTGAATTACAATTAGGGGCTGTTTAGTAGGAATCATTTTTCTAGTCCTAAATTTTTTGTTTAGGAGAAGTTCAGGGTTATTTGTTATCATGATTGGATTACGATCTTTGTGATTCCAGGACAGTGCAATTAGATTTTTTTTAATTGACTATATATTTAAATATCTGCTTGGATGGTGTGGCAGATAATAATTTGGAATTATATAATTTTAAATCTTTATAAACCCCATGTTAAAAATGATGGGTCTGTTCCAATCTGTACACCTTATTTTTTAAGAAATTGTAGTTATAACTATTGTTGGGGCTAATAGAAAATTGGTATTTTGTATTTAAAGAAAATGAAGCCTATTCACTCAGAATCTATAGAATCATTTACATAGATGAAAAATTCAAACATTTACTTTTGACAGCCAAATTAATATTAGGTTCAGAAGGAAAACACTGTTTCCCTTGCAATACAGGCTAAAATACCTTGAATTTTTAAATAGGAACTGTATGTTCTCTGATCTGATACTGAGAGTATTGTTGGAAACACTGAAAAGAAGAAAATTCAAAATGTTTCGACTTCTTTTGCAGACCATGTAAACATTTACATTAAAAAAAAAAAGAGTCTCAAGTTGGGATATTCAGTTTCTTTTGCATCTAATTTTTGATCTGCAACAGAAAGGCAGTTACATCAGTTCTGCGCTGAAATAGCCTTTAAATTCTATTTTCACCTACAATATGTAACTGTGGCTTTTGTGTACTTTACATCTTTGCTAAGCATATTTAATCAGTAAAATTTTGCTTTCTAAATATGCACAAACAAGGCAAACTTGATTTTCCACAGGTGAGTTAAACATAAAAATATGTCAGATATAATAGATGAACTTAGTCAACTGTAATTTTTTTAGCTACTCTTCCCATTTAAAACATTGCTGCAGAAAAGTAAGAGGATTGAAAGAGGAATCAATCCTCTTCAGTAGTGTTTGTTTTTTCTGTTGCATCTATCCTGTCCTATCTATAGCACAAGCAACACATGTACCTTCAATTACCGTGTCCATCGTGACACCAGGGACGAGTTCACGCCTGGGTTTTTGTTACCATGAACTTTTCTCACATGGCAGTGCTCTTAACCTGTTCTGTCCATCATCGTTCTGAGACAGCTGCACTTCAGCAGAGGGGTTTCCCAACATGAGCACGAGCAACGCGCCCCTGCCCTGCTGAGTGACCAAGGCAAAGCTGAAGGAAGCAGCACATCCATTCCTACTCCCAGGATTTAATTTTTCTTAATGCATTCCATGGGAGATTGGAAGACTGGAGATGTTAATTCTTTCCTATCTATTCACATGTCCAAGAAATGGGTAATTTTGAAAACTCCTATATATAAAGGAGTGAGC